ACACCTGGCTAATTTTTGTATTTTTAGTAGAGACGGGGTTTCACCATGTTGGCCAGGCTGGTCTTGAACTCCTGACCTCAGGTTATCTGCTCGCCTTGGCTTCCCAAAGTGCTGGGATTACAGGCGTGAGCTACCGCGCCCAGCCTTCATACTTTTTTTTTAAGAGATAGGGTCTTGCTATGTTGCCCAGGCTGGCCTCATACTCTTGAGCTTAAGCAATCCTCCTACCTCAGCCTCCTGAATAGCTGAGACTACAGATGTGTGCCATTGAACCCAGCTACCTTTTCATACCCTTAAAGACCATTAGAATATTTCCTTTCATGCAGGACCTTTTTAAATCATCTGCCCATTTTTCTACTGCATTATCTGTCTTCTTCTTACCAATTTATAGAATTTTTTGATATTGCAGATAAAGTTCCTCATTGGATATCTTCTCTCCTTCTATGGGTACATTTTTATTCTCTTAATGGGGGTCTTTTAATGACCAGAAGTTCTTAGTTTTAAAATAGTCCAGTTTATCCATTTTTAAATTATTAGTGCTATTTGTGTCCTGCTTGAGATATTTTTGCCTACTGCAAGGTCACAAAGATGTTTTCCTCTAAAAAGCCTTTTGGTTTTGCCCTTTTCCTTTAGATCTGCAGCTCATGTGGAATTGTGTGTGTGTGTGTGTGTTTGTGTGCACACGTGCGCGCGCACGTGTGTGTGTGGTGTGAGGTAGGGGTCATTTTTTTCACATGGATATCCAATTAACCCAGGACAGTGTATTGAAAAAAAAGAAAAATATGTCTTAGTCAATTTGGACTGCCGTAACAAAATACCATAACCTGGGTGGCTTAGACTTCAGAAATGTAGTGCTCACAGCTCTGGAGGCTGGAAGGCCAGGATCAACACACCAGCAGATTCGGTGTCTGGTGAGGACCCGCTTTCTGGTTCATAGATGTCACCTTCTTGCTGTGTCCTCAGTGTTGGAAGGGGCAAACTAGGTCCCTCAAACCTCTTTTATAAGATCCCTTTCATGAGGGCTCCACCCTCATGATCTAACCACCTCTCAGTACCTCATCTTGGGGGTTAAGATTTGAACAGAGGAATTTGGGGGAGACATAGACATTTGGAGCATAGCATCTTCTTTTCCTCAGTGCACAGCAGTGCTGCCTTCATCATCAGTCAGGTATCTGTAGGTGTGTGGTTATTTCTGGACTTGGCATTCTGTCCTACTTGTTGATTTCTCTGCCTTATATCAATGCCACACCATCTTAATTATTGTAACTTCATAAAAAGTCTTTTTTTTTTTTTTTTTTTT